CCCGGCTATAGACAGCGAAAGATTTTGTCAGTTTGTTAGTGTTTGAGCGCTTAATCGGCTGCTTGCACTGTATGCTTCCCGGAAAGCTGAGAATGTTTCGGAATGTTCTATGGTCTGCTGGGGTAATAAGATAGTGTAAAGCGCATAGAGCCTGCTGTTGAGCGGGGATATGCGCTATACAAATGCTATCTATTATTATTATTATTATTAATACAACTTAACAAAGTCATATTTTCGTTAAAAAAAACTGCAAAACTGTACTCACTGCACGGGTTGGAGTATCTCTCATAGTCACAGATGTTTGTGTTCGAGTTAAAGATTAGACTTCCCGGGCAGTTTTTTATCTGCCATACATTGTGGGTACACTGGTAGAAGACATTACAGTCGTAATTGTCTCGTCGGAGGGTACCTTCCACACACCCGGCACCCTGGACGAGTGTCTTGGACAGGCAACTGAGCACAAGGGTGATAGCTGAGGGAAAAAACAAAAACAAACATAAAACATTGTATTTCGATGACTGAGCGCAAGATTGACAAATGAGAGGGGAAAAAAACAACAACAAAAACCAAAACAGAACCCACATCATTTATCGATGGGTGAGCGCAAGATGTGACTATAATATCCATTTTTAGTCGAAAAGGAGTGACGGTATCTGTAGCAAGATTTTAAGCCACTCTTTTGCCTACGTAAATATCTATAGTGCGGTAAAACATTCGTGGCAGGCGCTACTTATCCTCAAATATCAATGTCAACAACACTTTGCACAGCAGTTTGTATCAATTTGTCTTAACTTAATCTATTTTTCCATAACAATTGAGGCTAGATTAGAAAACTTATCCTGTTAAATTCATATTTCTTCAAAGGGGTGGGGGTGGGGGCGACCCCCCAAAATTCCCGATTCGGTTGAAAATTATGAATTTTGAGTTATAGGCATATTTAGCTTTTTATTCTCTCTTACAACTATTTCAGAGCATCAGAACCACCAAAAGCCTTTTTGCTTCCCATAACGGGCATGTTTGTGACTAGCATTTCCTTATAAAGTCAATCTTTTATTTCTTTTTATCGCACGTTTTCTCAAAAGGCTGTTTTTCTACATACTTAATAGAAATAACTCCCCCATTTTTCATGTAATCTTCATGAAATTTTCACAGAAAGAAGAAAAGATGTAGATCTAATACTAAAAATATGTCTGCTGAATTTATTAAATAAATGGAATAGATTTTTGTTGGTGGTGTTTGGGGTGGGAGTTTTTGTGGATTTTTAGAAACTTGAATACTTCCTCAGGATAAAATTCATTAAAACTCTTCTAATTTGTTTAAGAAAAATTCATTGGAATAATTTGTAGATTTAATGTTTGTTAACAGGCATGCTGAAAGACAATCTCCAACATATTTCCATGAAAAATAAGTGCAGTATTCATTATGTAGTACATGTCAAAAAATCCAATATGGTCCCCCTAGCCATGGAAACGAAACTTTTGTCTCAAATTTGATTACGGACTTTATTAAAACTCCTTACTATGCTTGTGATATTATTATGTGTAAAAATTTGGTAAAATTTGAGAAACTAATAAGGGAGATGGCCTTCATGTTTTTCCAATCGTGACACTAAGCTTTTTGAAAACACGATTTGAGAACCTTTAGTGCAAAAAAATGAGTTCACTATAAAATTAGTTTCTTGTAACAAGTTTTGCCGCTAAAAAGTGTCATTGGTGAGATGTGACGTAGGCCATATGCGTGTGCAAAATGTGTGTGATAAGCGGGAGGTGTCGTGGACAATCTCATTTTCCGAGAGCCGGAGATTTATAGCATTTCATATGAATTTATGAAGAAACGTTTTTAAATCTTACCTCAACTGTTTTGGAAAAACATGATGAAGTTTAGACTTATGTACGAAGTATGGGTGACAATGATTCAATGGTTAAAGAGATATCTGAGCATAATTTGCGCCACGGATTTTTTTACCGCACTATAAACATTGCTTGCACTCAATCACACATTGCTTTATGCAGCATTCCTGCTTTATACGGAGACATATCAGATAACCAAATAATCAAAAACCAACAAAAACAATTTTCTCTGTTTCTAAAATTACAGTATTCAGTGTTTTGGTTCCCCTTATCAACCCCACCCATGTTCTGTTGTGGGCTGCCCTGGCATATTATGGGTAGCTTATTGAACGGTTACAAATTGGCTGTCTTTTATTGGACCATCTTCTGGCAGAGTGAATTCCCTCCACTTCGTCATCATATTTGTTTTCATTGTGCTTTGATTGTTGTTATTCTCCTGTGACACAAAAAATGTCTCACAGCGCGACGGAATCAGGCACTGGTCAATCTTAAGGCCTAATAATATGGAGCTTTTGGTATTAGACGAACTCAGTGCTTTCTTTTCCTATTTCCATTTTTAATAACAGTGAAAACAGTTCTTAACAAAGAGTGAGCTTAAAGAAGAAGTCGCATTTTCACTGTAAAAAACAACAACAAACGGAAATACGTCAATAAAGCACAGCGTGATTTCCTTTTTAAAAAGGGGAGGGGGGATACTCCCCAAAAAGTTCCGGTTCGGTTCAAAATTATGGATTTTGAGTTGTAGGTGTTTTTAGCTTTTTCAGCTTGGGTTTCTAATAGCCTTTGAGTTCCCTAAAGCCTTATTTCTTCCCATAACGGACATGTTAGTCATCACCATTTCCTTATTAAGTCAATCTATCATTTTTATTGATCGTCCGTTTTCTCAAAACACGGTTTTTCTATTCGAAGTGTATACAGACCCGGTAACCGGGAACAAAGTCACGAAGTATACAGACCCGGTAGGGGAACTCTTTTGTGATTTCGGGAAGTTTCAGCTCCCAGACACGGTAGAAATCTAGTGTGTGCGTGTGTGTGCGTGTGTGTGTGTGTGAGAGAGAGAGAGAGAGAGAGAGAGAGAGAGAGAGAGAGAGAGAGAGAGGGAGAGAGGGAGAGAGAGAGAGAGAGAAAGAGAGAGAGAGAGAGAGAGAGAGAGAGAGAGAGAAAGAGAGAGAGAGAGAGAGAGAGAGAGAGAGAGAGAGAGAGAGACTGCTCGATTGAAATTATGACATCTTCTTTTCTTCAAATTGCGCGTCTTGCGATTCCTCCAACTCCAAAACGGAGGAAAAACGATCGTTCATCGAAAAGACATCCGCAATCTTCATTAATTAGATTTAGATCTAGATCTAGGCTAGCCGCGAAACTAGATCAAAGATTTATATTATGTCTGTCTGCGTAGATCTAGATATAGACCTAGGCCACTGATCTAGAAGAACCTAGGTCTACCCTGAGCCAAGAGGGCGCAGAAACATTCAGAAATCACAAAAGAGTTCCCCTATCGGGTCTGTATACCTTGTGACTTTGTTCCCGGTTACCGGGTCTGTATACACTCCCTTTTCTATTTACTTTTTAAAAATAACTCCACTATTTTTCTTCCAATTTTTGTTGGTAGTGTCCGGAGTGCAGATTTTCATGGATATTTTTCAAAGTTGAATACTACCTCAGAAAAAAATATATAAAAAATTGTCTAATTCGTTTACGAAAAAATCAAAAGACAAATTTGTACATCTAATGTTTGCTAACATTAATGTAACCCCCCCCCCCCCCCCTAAAAAAAAAAAAAAGTTTTAAAAACCCCAATCTCTTTCCATGAACGAAAAGTGCGGGATTCATTGCGTAAAAATCCAATATGGCCACCGTATCCATGGAAACTAAGCTTTTCCACAAATCTGATTGCGGAGTTTAAGACTCCTTACTATACTTTTTGTATGTGTGGATTAGGTAAAATTTGCTCTACTAAAAAGCGAGATAGCCTTCAGATGTAGCCCCCCCCCCCCCTCCCTCACGCCCAGCCCCCCTCGTTTGCCTTGCTTCTGAAGGAAAAAAATACCCATCTATCTTGAATGAAAGTCGAGATATTAGTAATTTGAGTAGGTAGTGGTTGTTTGGTGTCAGAGTTAAATTACTGGGAAAATGGCCGTCAAAGATAGGTGACGTCCAAAGCTGTAGTGCCCTTGAAAACTGCAAATTATTTCCATTTTTGTTGTTGTGCCTTTGATTAACGTTCTCCAGTAACACCCACACAGGAATGTGTTGTTATTGGACATAAAGGTGTCGAGCCCAAAACAAAAAGAACATTGATTAAAAATTGTGCAACAAGCGGGAAAAAGTGGGTTTCTTTTTTCATTGAAATGACGAGCGCCTGATTCCACGTCGATGTCACCCAAACGTTTGTTGTTGATTCCATGCTTCCTTGCAGAAAGAATCAGAGCTGCAGTTGGTGGGGGACCTTTATCTCTTGTGACGCTTGGTATTCCAGTTATGTTATCGATTAATTCTTTAGTTGTCGGGAAACAAAATGCTGAGATAATTCGCTTCTAGTCGTCATTAGATAAGGATAAAACCATCTTTCCACATACCCTTTTCCGGGCAGTCTTATTTCTCTTGCGTTTTATCCTCTTTTCGACAGACGCATTTAATGTACTCAATTTTTAGAGGGGTCTGTTTCCTTTATGGCAGTTCTTCTGCACAGTTTTTCTGACATTCTAAGCTGTCCTTTTGTTCCCGAAGCTAAAGATTTAGCCACTTGATCGGAAGTTTCTCAGCTGCTCAACTCGACAGCTGTCAAACTTTTGAAGGTCCAGCTATCGTATTCATCAGTATAATATTTTTCATTTTGATTGTTGTCTCGACAAAGCTGGTGGCAAAAAATCAGGATAAATGAATTCAAATTCATTTCCAACTGAAGTCAAGACTCCGTGAACTGTAACATATCTGAAACAAACAGCACATTGAAGTCATGAATCCTGATTTTAGGGAATGAAAGCTAGTTTTTCTATGCGTAATAATATTTTCTATATTAAAACAACAAAATAATATTTGTCAGGACAAGAAAACTTGATTAAGCCTGACAACAATGTCATTAAAATTGACAATATTAGAAGACTTTTGAAAATTTACCAGAAGCTTCAGAGAGCACGTAGGCTATTTCGTGTTTTTATATTATCGGAGTGATGCAAGATCAGTAGAGCCATCTTCAATTCTGCAAAAATCCAACAGTGAGGATACAGATTGGAGACGGTCTGTGTGGACCAACGATGTTGTGAGCATCGCACTCATATGTTATAAATAGTATTCTGTACTTCTCTTCTATCAAATCCGCATTTCTGTACTTCTCCTTTTCCAATCTGTTAATCACCAATGCCATCACACTGACCGCAAGGGTTATAGAAATAAAGTCAATTATTCCACCTAAGAAGCAAGAGAAACACCACGAAATAATAATTTCTCTATAGTCCGTTAAAAAATTCGTGGCGTGACTTATTCTCAAATATCTCTTTAACAGGTGAATATGTCACCCGTACTTTGCACATCCGTTTGTATCAATTTGTCTTAACGTAATCACATTTTATCACAACAGCTGAGGCTCGATTTAAAAAAAAACGTTTCTTAATAAATTTAT